CCATGCTCATGCTGGTCTTTGTGTGGAGTGGCTGTAAGAAAGGTGGAATGGATCAGGCTAATGATCAACGGCGGGTCTCACTGTTAAAGGATCTGAACATGGCGGGCGCAGGTTCTTTGGCAATGCTTAAACCTGCCATTGATCCTTCCAATGCCCAAAACCCTTTCGATCATTACGGACTGAGCCATAATGAACGCCTTACTGCAGTGGATGAGATTATGCAACGACAAGGCGACGATAGCAAAGACGCCAAGCGGGAGATTTTTCTTAGCTATGTCAAGCAGACCAGGGGTGTAGATATCCGTGAAAGCTTTGCCCGGATAGAGGAACTGATGGCGCGCTATGAACAGGAACCGGAAGTATTGTATAAAATTGCTGAAGGGAGTACGACGCATAAATACCTGAGCCGGATTGCAGAGCTGACGGCGAAATTAAACAGCGATGAAAGTTATGGGTATTATATCAAGTCCATGAAACAACTGGAGGAAGAGGTGCTTGCTGACCCGGAGCTTTCAGAGCGGGGCCGGGAAATGCTGTTAATTGGCGCAGCTATTGGCCGGCATTCCTCGTCCTGGTGGTACGCACAGATCAACCGCACACCACCGGAGCAGACCGGTAAAGGCTTTTTTCATGGGTTATTGCGGTTTCATTCCTATGTGAATGGTGATCTGTTCACCGGTATCGCCAGTTTTTTAGAAGGTCGGAGTGCCTTGGATATCATTGACGATGCCGTTGGTATGAGTGAATTCTTAAACTGGTATATTGATTGCTACTGGTTTCCGGGATCGCCCAGGAGTGGTAAGTTCTAGTGAAGCGTCATCTTTTTGACCTGGGTACGACCTCTCATTAATAATGGTTAACAATGACGGGATGGATTTAAATTGAAGATCCTAGATTGTTAATTCCGTGCGGCGGTGCCTATATGCACCGCCCTTCTTGTTTTAGCCAGATAGTATCAAATAAACAGGAGGCATATTATATATTCGGTTATAGGAAAATAGTTTTTGATTTGGATTTAAGCAAAGATGATACCCAAGTGAAGGCACATTTCAATCGCCGCACAAATTCCTACTTTACATATTTCCTGAAAGCTTTTACCATTTGAAAAATAAGCAGGCCAACAGCAACACGCAGGAAAAGGATGTCGAGTATTTTGGCAAGGGCAGTTTTCCAGTTGTCTGCCGGTGGAATGGTCTGGCCGAAACTGTCGCTGAATTTTCGCACCGGGTTGAAGCATTCCATCATTTCGGAGATGGCGGTCAAAAATTTTTC